AACCGATCTTGGTCATTCATTCTTTCAATAAACGGTTGTGATTAATCATGATAAAAACTTATTTTTTTAAATTTAATATTTTATAAAGATAAGTGAACAAAGTTGAAAAGGGTATTTAGGTAAAAAAAATTATGTAACTCCCATATCATTAATTGGGAGTTACAAAATCAAAAAGTTATATAATTTTTGTTAATTTATTTTTGTTAATATAAGAACCATATGAACACAAATATATATATATATATATATATGTGTGTGTGTATGAACCATTGTGTTAAATATGAACAAAAAATTGACATATATATAAACTTGGACTACATATTATGAACATAATAAGAATAATTGTTATACGAAAGGAAATAAATAAAAAAAATGTATGAACACAATATGAACAGCTTGTGAACAATAGTTCCTTCATTATAAAGACATTCAGAAGCGATTCTTTATCAATTGGAGTTTTATACATGCATTGCATCCATACCGTTTAAGATTCACTCCTTGTTCATATATGTTTCTGGTCTTATGTGATTGTTCACCTTTTGTTAATATCGTGTTCACCCCTTGTTCATATCGTATAAAATATATGAACACGTGGTGCAATTAAAGAAAAAAGCTATCAATACAAGATGAATTATAAAAAATACAACACATCGTAACGAACATAATTTCGATTAAAACGAATCTAATAAAAATATTAATCTATTACCAAGGCATTCGCTTTGGTTAATTTTTTCACTTCCCGACCTCGAACTCCGATTGTCATCATAAACCATTTTAATTTTCTCACTGTTGTCGATTTCTTTTCCATTGCGTTTATCTATATTAGTTTGATCGATACTGAAAATTTTACTACCGTGTTTCCTATGCGAATTAAAAACTCATAAAACAATGAATATAGAAGATCAAGATTAAAAAAAATATATTAATATTATAAATGCATATTTTTTGGGATTTGATGATTTGTAACTCTCCATTAATTGTTTGGGAGTTACATATCAAATCAATTTACTGAATTACTCTTGTAATTAAATTGTGAACATGACATAAGCCTATTAGAAGAATGAAATTTGATTGGTTGACATGGTTTGCAAAGTTAATACAAAATTATTGGTTAACATTTGATCTTCCCTCTCTCTCTCTCTCTCTCTCTCTCTCTCTCTCTATATATATATATATATATATATCAATGTTTCTGGTCTTTGGATTGAGTCACATGGTCTTGATTTGGCTTTGATTTCGTCCCTTGAGTCTATTCTATATTATGATCTCGTTACATTGGTTTGCTTTCCGGATCCGGACTCGTTGTTTTGTTTCTTTGGATTATACGCCATAATAGGGGTACCAGTTCGTGTGGCATGTCGGAAGTTGATGACGAAGTCAAGATCCCRGATTTGATGGGTGAGACTTTCTACGACTGTGAATACTTATTACTAAAAAAAGATGAAGAGCAATGAATAGTGAACCTTGACAMTTATCCGATGGAGGTCACAAATAAAAAAAAATACATACCCAAGCCGAGGTTACATGTGTATAGTGGGAAGGGCGTTAGTGGATTACGTTTGTTGTGGTTACCCGAAATAGAGGATTCGCATAAAAAAAGCTGTAAGTAATTAAGAGGCTGAATATRTTTCAGCCAAAGCCCAAAAGCGTAGCCTTCGTTAGAATAGATATGTTGCTTGTAACTTTTGGCATCTTATCATCAACCTTTTTAGA